TTCATGAGGGTTAAGGCTAACACCATCGGAAATGAGCCGGTGTGTTGGAAAAAGAGAACTTCCTCCACTTTTCCTTTCCGCTCTGTGATAACTAAATTCAGTCCGATGTGTTTGTGTGGCTTTGTGAGGATGGGAAGTTTAAGTAAGAGTCTACATGTGTGGTTGTGCATGTTTAAACTCATGTCTAGTCCTCTTCTTCAAGCTGCCAGGCAAGCGCTGAGGCGTCTCACCATCCGAACTGAGAATGTGTCTGGACCACACACAGAGGTCAATCTGCGCCGCGCCACACCGGTCCAACAGCCTCTCCTCCCTGCCAGCTCAAATGCTGTCAATTAGCTGACAGGGGAAAAAATACATCATTTATTAATTGCTCCAAAAAAACCCAAAGAGAGAGCGAGAGCTCAGCATAAATAAAGCACTTAAAAGCCAAGCCGTTGCTGAACGCATTTGACAGGGTACATTCGTAATGAGTTGTGAATTCTGACAAGTCCTCTAATGCCGTCTATCTGTCACTGAGACCATTTCTTCCACAAGCTCATTGCTGACAAAAACGAGGGGAAGAAATTGGGATATTACATTTAACTACTATGCTCAGCTATTAAAATGTCTTAGTGGCAAAAAGAGAAGACGAATTATACAGGGTATATGCAGGAATCCTGAAGTCAAATGTAATACCTTTTAAGACCCTTTCCATACACCTCATCATCACCGGTTACATTGGCGGCACACTCTCCCTCACATTTACTATATACAGTATTGATTGTCCTTCCTCCTTATCTTCCAACCATTTGGACGCAAACTTGCATTTCCCCATAACGATGTTGTTTAACAACCGGCGTAAACGGGCCTTCGCGCGCTATCAAGCAGTGAGCGTGCGATGTCCTGTTCAGATGACGTCCAATCCAACGGGATGCCATAAATAAACTACACAGAATCACACTACACACCTACACAATGATTACATTCAGGCAGACTGTAGAATACAACCTCGTTGGACAATTGATATACTTATTGAAAACAAGCTACAAAATGTAATACCTTGGAAGATGCCGTTTAATACTTTTTAATAGCCTTCATTTTCGCTAAATTGATTGATCAACTTTTAATACTTTTTAAGACCCCGTGGACACCCCGTTATAAGACATCAATGCAATTTTTCTACACGCAAGTGTCCGAAGGAGACAGCAGGCTCAGTAGACAAAGACTGCCTCGTGTCCGGCCACACACACAACAAAAACAATTAGAACTGCGATGTTCTACCAAACATTTGCATGAACTGTGCTCTCCACTGATCACTATTAAATGTGAACCTGGATTCTTAAAAGTGTTTCTTGCAGAACAACAACAAATACACCCCTCATGATTTCCTATTGTAGTACGGTAAATGTTTAAAGAGTGTGTGGGAAAGAAACTCCCTCTGGAGATTTGGGATTTAAGCCTTTGCAGATCATTTAAAAACACACAAAAACCTACGTAACACACTACATGGGAGGGAAAACCTTAAGCCTAATAGGGGCCCTTTAATTGAATAAAAGGACAAAGGAAAGATGGACGGAGGAAGAATTGGTTGAAGTATTGAACCAAGAAACAAGTTTGGTTTGAAAAAAGATTTGAGTAGAGTCACTGGAGCAAACTGACCTCTCAGCCTCAGGCCTGTATGTGCATCCATGTATGTGTGTGTGTGTGTGTGTGTGTGCTTCAGGCTACTGCAGTGTCCCCAACAAGGGACCTTAGGAACCCACTGCCATAGGGTTAAAGGTCAGATCAAACATCGTTTCACACATGGTCAGTTTGTGCAGGAACTGTCAAATTAACAGGTTTATTTTTCTATTTTCTAACATAACGGAGACTTATTGGTCAAGGACTTTTGTTTGAGAGACACTATTGCATTAGTGGATAACATAACATTATCTTAACTGTAATCTATCTAGTCTTCTTTAAGCTTGTAGGTCTGTAGAAAAATAAACATTGATAGGTAGGGATGGGTACAGAGCCCCGGTATTAAACGGGCCCCGGGGCTGAATTATTAAAGACCGTGGTACCGTTAAGCTCTGACGTTATCGGTCTTTTTATCGGTACTGGAGACATCTAAAAAATATGTCATGTGTATTATTGCTACACAAACATTATATTGCAGTTTTAGTGTCGCCAACTCCGTTTCTAATACGCAAAAAGACTGCAAAATGCGTCATTTTTTGTATTTTCGATCTCTCCAATCCAGACGAGCGATCTCTCTCCCCCGCCTGTGTGCGAGGGGGCGGGGCAGTTTACACACACGCAGCTGCTACATGCAGCAACACACACACACGGACGAGATGGCGGAGAGAACGTGCTCCGAGGTGTGGTTAAACTTTACCCGTCTCGCTCGTTGCCTAAAGTGCAATAAGAGTTTAGCATGTCAGGGCGGTAACACGAGCAATTTGTCTAAACATTTAGCAAAAGTGCACCACGTTCAGACGGAGAAATGCACCGGGTTCGACTGTCTCTCTAGTAGCTCTGTAGCCCCATCCACGAGTAACGTTTCCACGTCAGGTATATTATGTATGCTAGCAGCAACACACGGAGCTAACTCAATGATTCAAACATGGGTTAATGATTAGAGGGAACTGAGTTATTTAGTTTGTTAAAGTTTCAGCCATTCTGTTCACAGTTCTGTCATCAGATTATTTAATATGATTTGTTAAAACGTTGTTGTTTCTGTTGATGTGAAATATTATGTATTTCATTTAAATAAAAAGCAATGTTAGTTTTGTTCACAATTTGTTAATTTTCATTTAATTGTTTATTTGAATAGGGACAATGCACATTAATGAACACTTTAGACAAATAATGCTTCAAGTGTAAATATGCCGGATTTTAGCTTTGAGCTAATTTCCATCCGTAGTCCCTGACATACAACATATAGTTAGTTTACCTCATTTTTCTCTCCAAAAGAACCGATAAGAGTACCGTTAAAAGACCGGACCGATAAGCGGTATCGATAAAAGTAGTAGTACCGTTAAAACCTTAACGATACCCATCCCTATTGATAGGTCACAAAATGTCCTGCAGTTATACACCCACGAGGCCTTCATTTGGAGATCAGGATCAGAGGTGTGTGTGTGTGTACGCGTTGTTTCATGGCTTCCTGCTCTCTCGCGCAGGGATCAGACCTCTTTGCCCTTGACTGCCCCAGCCCAGTGAAATCTGTCCCAGTTGGACCACTCTGTAGGGCATTAATATTTGAGCGAAACACTCCTTTAAAAAGCTCTTTCTGGTACAGAAGACTGATGAAGTCATAATCCGCTCTACACCACAAAAATAACACACTGCGCATATCATGCTCACCAAAAAAACACGCAACTCCGTTTCTGATCGGACGCACAACCAGCAGGCTCAATAGCACCCATTAAGTTCTCACAAACACTGGAGTGTCTTTAACTACGAGCTTCTCACGACAACCTGTTCACCTTTGACATGAATTGGTCTCTCTAAAGATGCTAGTGATAGCTTAAAGGGCCCATGACATGGCCATTTCTACTGATCATATTTCCATTGTCGAGGTCTACTAGAATAGATTTAAATTGTGCAATTTTCCAAAATCACATTGGTTTCTCATACAGCATCTCTGTATAGTATGTGTATTCACTCTCTGTCCTAAACGGCTTGTTGGAGCTCCTGCCCCCCCCTCCCTGTGAGCCCAGTGTGCTCTGATTGGTCGGGACGTTGCGAGGTGAACTGCTGCGAGGAGCGGACAGGTTTCCGGGTCTGCGATACAGCGAGACACAGCCAAACTCATCCTGAGCACACACACACACTCACAGCCGAAGTAAAAACAATAACGGACCGTCCACACAGCAGCGTTAAAAAAATCTTGGAGGTGGGCGTATCTGAAGCTTGGGGATTTTTTGCGAGTAAGGCACCAACAACCAATCACATGAATCTCCCGCCCCCGACATACGAAGCAAACAAGTTTGAAGTAAACTGGATATAAACTCCCCAAACAGGCGAAAACCTACCACTGTCTCTGCCACCTCCCTCCATGCCTGGCTCCTCCGGTTTATATCCCGGTAGGTGTGGTCATAAAGCACCGGGTGATTAATTCCCTACTGCTAATCCCAACTCGTCTATTACCAGCGTTCAGGGAGCTCTATGCAAGTCAATGGGGACTCCCTGTTAGTTAGCCAAGGGATCCTGGTGTGTGAGGTGCTCCGCGGATTGGTCCATTTGGGCCAATCCGGTCATTTGTTGTTGATTTGGGTGTTCACACGTCACAGAACCCAGGAAGCAAACAATGGAAAATGAGAAATCTCCAACGAGGCGTTCTGGGGCAGCATAGACAGGTCTTTTCTGTGTTGGAGTTTTACTCGCTACAGGGTGTACTTTGAGGGTTTGTGACTCTGCAGACCGTTTACATGCATACAAACCTTCATAACACACAAGGGGACGGATAATAACTGGAAAAGCATGACATGGGCCCTTTAAGGGGAACGTTAAAAAAATGTAAGTGGAGGATGTAGTTTCATAGCCCGTGTAAGTGTTGTTTTCGCTGCTCACCCCATCCACAGTATAACATTACTTGTTTAATTGACTGTAGGTTATGCATTGACTATGGATATGTACCTAGTAAGACCCCAGTTAAAGTAATCAAAACGTTCCCTTTAAGTACAAGATTGCAGTACGTGTGAATGAATTCCTTCAAAAATGTAATAGTTTTTATTTTCATGGTTTGGGTTAGTTACTTTTAAACCACCACAGTAAGATAAGAAGTGTAACCCACTCAAAATCTGCAATAACCAGCTATTCAACAAAAGTCGTGTACTAAAGCTGCAGAATGAAAGTGGAAATTTAGCACATTAAGCGTAAATATAAATTAAGAAGCGGTTTAGACAGACAGACAGACAGATAGATAGACAGACAGACAGACAGATAGATAGACAGATAGATAGACAGATAGATAGATAGATAGACAGATAGATAGATAGATAGATAGATAGATAGGTGTGTGTGTGTGTACGTACCAGCTTGGTTTCTCTCTTTCACATGCGGACTAAGGAGAGGCCAAAAGAAGTGAGGCCTTATGGGTAAGTCCAGCTCCTTCAGCATCTTCATCAGCGCCAAGGAGAGAGCTGCAAACAGAAAGAAAATACAAAATAATTATTGAGTCAAAGGACTTTTTTCGTATCGGTGTAGTAACTTGATGTTAAATATTAATATATACATTTACAATTTACCAAATGCACAAAGGTGAGTGTTTATGGAAAAAGGGAATGTGTAAATGCATGTAAATGTATAAATACATCTATGAATACATGTTTTGAATGGAAAAAATAACCAGGAGAAAAAGATACCATCTGTGATGAAAGATGGGACAATGGGAGTTATAGGACACAAAACTTTTATAATTAATGCACGTATGAGACCAAATGTTTCAATCATGTGTAAGCGATACCTTGCAAGTTATTATCAATGTGTGTTTTTTCCTTTGCTTTCTTATTTTTTTCCTGATTTGTGGATTGTTATGTACTTATTTTAGGTGTCCAAGTGTTGATTTTTTTTATGTTTGCCTTGTAATCAAATAATTTCTTACAAATAAAATAAAATAAATAAATAAAATAAAATAAATAAAAGAGTTTGCCGTACCTGTTTTTTGGGTCTCCAGAGCAACGTTCAGAGTGAAGATGGCGGGCTCAGTGTTCAGTTTAGACTCCTGCAGCTCTTTGCAAACGCGGCAAATCTTTTCCGGTGACTGTAGACACACAGTAAGATCAAAAATAACATTTAAACATTGAAATTCATCCTCATACACTGTAGTAAAACAAGTGTTAAGGGAGAAATGTTTACCATGTCTATGTTAACACAGTGTCTGAGGAGGAAGTTGCCCAGGTGGGGTTCGATGATTGTGTCTTTAGATTGCAGGCTGGGGTTATTCTGCAGGCTGGGGAAATTCTTCAGGATGTAAAAAGCTGTGTCCTCCAGGCCCTGTGTGGTGAGGCTCAGGCACAAGTTCATGGCATCTACAGGAGGAACAACAAATACTGCATCAAAACACTTTGAAGAGGATTACATGTACAGCTGATCAAGGGTCAGGCATCATTTCTACTTTCATATTGTCCAATAGTGGTTAATTGTCCAATTGGATAATTTGTTTCACCAAACCATCAAAGAAAGCTCCATTGGAAGCCATTTGGAAAAGTATTTAAAAAATACTTGGCAGGTGATTGGATCAATGTGTCTATCACCTACTATCATGGGCCACTTCTGATTGGTTAACAATGACAGGTACATGTGGAGCACAGCACTTCTGATTGGTGTGGATGACTGACACACAAGAAGAACAAAAAAATGATATAATTGCATCATTTAAAATCGCGATTTCGATTTAAAATTGATTAATCGATCAGCCCTAGATTGGTATATATATATATATATATATATATATATATATATATATATATATATATATTTATAAAACGGACAAGTAAAATCAAGCAATCTGATTGGTTCTTAGCCGTGGTATACTGAGCGTATACCACGGGTAGAATTGTAAGTTACTTTTCACAACAACTCAGTATCCCTCCGCGTCTGAGATAAACTGTATACAGTTGGGCTGAAAAGCAAACTGCCTGCAGTTTGCTTTTCAAACTGGAACAAGAAAGCAGCGGAGAAGTAACGGGGCAGAAACCCTCCTTTTTACGCAACGGTTCAGACATAGACATCAAACGGCAAAAACATATTCAGTGTGCAGTTCCTTTGGCATTAGGGCAGGGATATTTAGATACTTTCCAAGGTTTGACATAATGAATTGTGCTACTTTTAAAGCGAGCAACGATGTTTTCAAATCTGTAATCAAAAAGGTCCGTAAAAACATTTAAGATTAACTTCGACCTCCGGGGGGGGGTCTTACTATGGAGGAGTGGATTGAGGAGTGCCTATCTCCAGAACAAAAAGCACCTAAACGACGACATGTAGAGCGACGTGAAGAGCAGGTAGACCAACTGGAAAAGTATCACCATTCAAAAGCTTTCTGATGCGGGTCTTGAAAGAAAGCAGAGAAATTATGACCGTTAGTGGCCACAGGTGCGAAAGCTCTCTCCAGAGCTACTGGAAGCCGAATCTCGGGGACCGGAGAAAGTGGAGCAATATTCTCGCCACGCCAAGCAACAGCCTCGAACAACCTCAGCCTATACAAGTAACCACGTAAGCCATTCTACTGATGCTGGACAGTTTTTCAGTGGGTGCACAATAAACGGCAACATACACATTAATGTAAATAAATAGCCAAATAATGGATCAACGCTCTCTGTCTAATATGTTCGCTAGCTGTTGTTAGTGTTGTTGCATAGCAACCACCTCGCACTATGTTTTGTGCAGAAGGCAACAGAGGGACTATTTTATTTTGAACATCATTATTTAATAATAACAACTATTTAAATTAGAGTGTGTATTTTTCTTTCATATTGCCACACTTGGTAACCGTTTTATAAAAGCAATAGCTCACTTCAGGCCGTGATATATGCTCATATCACAGCTAAGGGGGTTGTCGACCCTCCGCTTCGCGTCGGGCCGAACCACGCCCCTTAGCTGTGATATAATGAGCATATACCACGGCCTGTCGTGAGCTATTGCTTAAATATATTATAGAAATGTCAATGGCTCCTTTTAACCATCTGTCTGTACTACCGAGTGCAACAAATCACATCAATATGTTAAGTTTTAGATTTTTCTTATCTTGGATCACAATCCAAATCCTTTCCATTAAGGTTAACTTGGCAACTCTAACAGAGCGCGGTGAAAAGTGTTGGTAAGTAGCCACAAAGAGAACAGAGATGCTGGGTTTCAGCTCCACAGCAAACTGGTTTGTAATTAAGGATTTTAAATAGACATGCTGCTCTACCAGAAAATGTTTAAATGCCCAGTATCAGATTCTAGAGATCATTTATGGAACATTTTGGATCTGATGCAAGATGCAACAATCATTGATCATCCCGTCCTTCGCCAATTGGCACAAGCTGACAATTTACCAGTCCTTTTCTTGACAATACTTTAACTGCTAAAGACAGCATCAGGTGTGTGTGTGTGTGTGTGTGTGTGTGTGTGTGTGTGTGTGTGTGTGTGTGTGTGTGTGTGTGTGTGTGTGTGTGTGTGTGTGTGTGTGTGTGTGTGTGTGTGTGTGTGTGTGTGTGTGTGTGTATTAGGGCTCTACCCGAATATTCGTTCGTTGGAGTACTATTCGGGTTTCAATTTCGTTATTCAGATATTCGTTTTGTTTGTTTTTTCCCGTTTTTTTTAATTGAATTTATTGAAATCTCCAATATCAACGTAAGAGCTTGTGCCTCTTCGGGGTGTGCCAACACGTTATCTTTTACTTTCTCCGTCTTTATATGTAGATATTACTTTTCTCCGTTAACCTCCGTCACGTTGTTTCCAAAGCAACAACAACTTCCTGTCAACTGCGCTAACTCTCCTTCAAAATAAAAGCAGGTCCATAAATAGGAAGCCAAGCCAAATTACACTTAAGACGTATACAACTGCAACGAAAGTAACAAACACAATGCGATATCCTTTTCAATTTCAAAGAACGCAAATTGGGTTACATTAACAAATAACTATAAAACAATACTAAAATACAATACTGTAGAATAACAAAATGAATGCCGTGAATACACCGAAATACACATGTTGAAGCGGTTCGCTGCTGATTACTAGTGCCCCCCGCGCGCGGGCCGAATATTCGCTGCTGATTACTACCGAATATCCGGAGCCCGAAAAATGGTATTCGGGACAGTCCTAGTGTGTATGTGTGTGTGTGTGTGTACCTGGAACGTATGCTCTCTCATGACTAAAGCGCTCCAGCATGTGTGGGATGTGCTCCTGGTGTCCGGCCTTGGCCAGAGTGATGATGACCGGCATGAGGTCTCTGTCCACCAGTCTGCACATTGCACTATCTGCCGCCTCCATCGTCTGACAGAGAGAGGAAGACACAGGAGGAGGAAGATAACATGGAAAGAGTGAGTTTGGGAAGCAAGAAACAACAGAAGCAATGGAGGGAAGGGATTAAGAAAGGTTGTTTGGAGTCAGGATCATTATGACTACCCGCTGAATTAACACACACACACACCTTTTTCAAATTGTCCAGGTCTCCCTTCCCAGCGTAGGCATTAAGCAGCGCTACATAAGTATCAGGACCGGGTTCAATTCCTGCTCCCTCCATCACAGTCAGGATTTTCTTAGCACTCTCGATGTCCCTGCACAGAGACAGATCAGAACTGCTTTAAAACCTCATTACTTCCTAGCAAACACTCATTGTGAGCCATTATAAACAACAGAATGCTGGAAGATCAATAGCAGGGAGACTCACCCTGCTTGGGCATGGCCTGTCACCAGGGAGTTGAAAACGGCCTCAGTGATTGGTAAATCGTTGCTCTTCATGTAACCCAGTATGGTGCTGAAAAGGAAAGAAACATTTTAAAATGGTAGGGAAAAAAAATTGAGATATTTAAAGATATTCTTGCTACACTGTAGGGGGTGGGGGGGAAAATGCAGATCACAAAGTTTGCTCACCTTGCTCCGTCGATATCTCCATTTTGGCAGTATGCTGCAATGAGTCTCTGGTAGGTAACCTGTGTGCAAAATTAAAAAGGAAATCAAATACAGCTCGAAAATACCAAATGTAAAGGAATTGTTGATACATTAAGTGTAGATGTGTAGATGAATATCTGGATAGTTAACTCCAGTGATGTAGTTGATAGACTTAAGCTAACAGAAATGTAACCAGGTGTTTCCTTTAGTTGTTATACTGTGCAGTGCTTACTCTGTTGGGCTGGACCTTCGCTGCCTCCATCTTGGCCAGGAAGTCAGTGGGGGTGAACTTGAACTCATTCTGCAGGTACACTTTCAGCAAGGCGTTGTAGTGACTCACATCATACACTGTACCTGTGGTGGTCAAAGGGCAAATTTGATTAGAAATAGTGATATTTAGTATACTCCATTTGGCAGAGCCCTAACATCCTGGTTAAATACTGTTCAGTTAATGCAGCAAACAGCAAGAAAGTACTCTGGATTAGGAGTGCATGATGTTGGGAAAAAGACAGACATTGCAATGTTTTTCCACTACACTATACTGTATATTACAATGTGAATAAATGCAGGACTTGTTGCCATTGGTGCAGCGTCTCACCCAGCTCCTGCAGCTTCTCCCACACTTGGTGAGCCAGCTCAGTGCGCTGCTCCAGAGGAACCTCCGGCATCAGAGAGCCACAGCTCCGCAGCAGCAACAAGGCCTGGTTACCACTGGGATAAGCTGATGAAAGAAAAAGATTAGAGGGTGAGGAAAGAGAAACACATCAACATGTAAGAGCCAGTAAGTCTGACAAGTGCACATTTAAAAAAATGCACCTTAATAAACCAACAGAAAGTTAGAAGGTTAACAATGTCAAAGGTCAGCCCGATACAGGAGCTTTATTGTATGCCAGCGCAACAAAACTGCAGTCGGCCTAGAATGGTGCATTGTTTTAAAAACTCGACTGCTAATAAAATAAGATAATAGATAATAAATAGCAGTGACAGAAAGTTAAGGTGTTGAATGACATGTATGGTTTGTGTTGGAAGTATAGAGTTATAAGCAATCTCCCTCACTTTCACAAGTGCTTAGCTCAGTGGTTCCCAACCTGGGGGGGGGCAGCACTATTGCAGGGGGGGCGTGTGAAGCTTGGGAAGAAGTTGTAAACAAACATTGTTTGCTCGTAAAATTGACACATTTTTAACACAACCGGCAGTTAAAAGAAAAGTTGACGAGCCCACGACAAGCCTTTCAGCTATAATGCCCAAATCAACAAAGTATGGTGTCTGTGTGTGTGTGTGTGTCTGTGTCTGTGTCTGTGTGTGTGTGTGTGTGTGTGTGTGTGTGTGTGTGTGTGAGAGAGAGAGAGTGACAAGAGCTATATTCAGAGCTCTGCTGCCTTGGCTACAATCTTTCATCGTTGCTGTTGTATGATTGGTGTTTAACTACGGTATTTAGCATCTACAGCACCTCCGCTTTTAGGGTTGACGTAGACCCAAACGTCGCCCGGTGTTGTTGCGGGAGCTGCTGCACTAGCTAACGCTACATTAGCAAAACAAACGCAAATGTATTTTGCAAAAGGTGCAGAGGGTGCATTATAAGACTGTTGTTCCGCTGAGAGCGAGCCGAAAAAAGCACTGTTAGACATGGGCGGAGCCTCTCTGGTGGTTGACTAATCAGAACAGAGTGGCCGAGCTGACCAATCGGAGCACACTAGGCTCACAGGGAGGGGGGGGGCAAAAGCTCCAACGAGCCGTTTAGTGGAGAAAGTGAATACTGCTGAATACACACACATTACAGAGATGCTGTATGCGAAACCAATGTGAGTTTGGAAAATTGCACAGTATAAATCTATTTTAGTATACCTCAACAATGGAATTATGATCAGTGGAAATGGCCATGACACCTCTCCTTTAAGTAAAAGTAGTATACTGCAGGGTAGCTTGTGAATTTACTCCAGGTGTAACTAAAGTCTGATTTAAGAGTTGATTATATTTCACATCATTCATCCACATCTGTAAAGTAACTAAAGGTATTAAATACATGTAGTGGAGTAAAAGTACACCATTTACCTCTGGACTGTAGAGGAGAAGAATTTCAAAGAAGCAAAAGTGGAAATACTTAAGTACCTCAATATAAGTACAGTTCTTGAGTAAATCTACTTACTACCACCACCACTGCAGGTATGTGTGCTAGCAGCCCATAATCCGCACTATACATACAATGAATCAATTTGAATTCTGTTTCTAATTTGTTTAGTTTTTCACCTAAAAAATAACAAAAAGAACCTATAAAAATACTGTTAAAGAACCGGATCGATAAGCAGTATTTGTAATTGTTTCAATTAGGCCTCATTATTTCATAGTGGCACAGGATCATCTGCCAATACAAGCACTTTTGTTCATGTTCAATCCATAATAAAATATAAAATTAGAGTTGGATCTTTTTTTCTTGCTATTATTAGTAGAGAAAATGTAATGTTTGTACAACTATATACAATTAATTCTACCAATCTCGGTGGGAACCGGGTTAGGGGGGGGCTCGAAAATATTTCCAATTACACAAGGGGGGACTGACTGAAAAAGGTTGGGAACCACTGGCTTAGCTCATCCTCTGCTGCTAATGGATGACACCACCTGATTGTGAAACTGCTGTAAAGTTTTCCTACCCAACACACCTGGGACCGCTGCCAACTTGTCTGATTTCGTATAAGGAAAAGTTGACTGCGGTACAAGCCTTCTCTCAGATCACTGCTCTGCCTGCCTACCTTTCTTGCAGATATCTTGGAAGATGCGGTTCAGCTGGACCTTGGTGATGCGACCGGTTCTCCTCACTGAGCTGTCCAGCCTGGCCAGAGCGAAGTCAAACTCCTGCGCCTGATTGGGCCGCTCCGCAATGCTGGGCTCATCCTTCTGCTCTGTGGCCACGGCATAGTTACGCACACACCCCACTGTATAGGGCCACACGCGACTGAGGGGGAATAGAAAGAGAGAGAGGGGATGAATGACACTGGATAGACAGTGTTGGATGATACTGACAGATAAACATAATACCGTTATAGGTGAATGTGAGACAAAATATTTATCAGCATCTATCCTAAACAGGAATAGCACAGAATGAGTTGAATGGACAATAATACTCATGTCCAATAAGCAGTAACACGCTATGCTATGACCTTGAGATAAAAAGCCCCAGCAGAGCAACACATGGTCGTAATCCCCCATCTTTAACATCAGCTAAGGTCAGTGTTTCTCTGGTACTTTATTATAAAACCCTAGATGACACATTTGACAATAGCATAAATTAAGCTGCAGCATCAACATGCCTTGCTGCTCTGCATTGATGGGCCTTTGCAAAAAAGCTAGGATTCACGTTTATGTCAAAAGTTAGTGCCTACATCATGATTACGAACCAATGTCATTGGGTTTATTATGAGGACAACTTGGCTGTATTATACAACCTCTGATCATCACCTTGTGTAAAACGGGAGCCATGTTTCCCTATGTAACTATCTGCGTAATAGGCCATTTATTCTGACATAATGCCACATATGTCAGCATAACACATTTAACACTAACTGCCAATAGCAGTGTGGATACTTGTGTGTCTCTGGATGTCATTGAGCCTCACATGTGGGTCACAGCTAATGCTACACCGGCTAACACACTGAGATACCTGGACGCGTTTCCCGAAACAGGGCTGATGTGTCGGGAACAAACTCCGGTCCCTCTGGCGCCGAGAGGTCCGCTGAACAGCAGGCGGAGGGGCGGCCCGGTTCTTTTGGTGCCTGAGATCTGAAGCAAGCCCAAAGGCGAACACTTAAGTAGCCGGGATGATCTCAAGAGCGCAGCCATGTTTTCTGATGTCGCACAGTGGAAAAAACTTCGCACCACGTGACACGTTATAATAAAGCCACGCGAGACCACCGGATGAGAGCGTCACTTTATTGTTTTAACCCCCGTGCCCTTCTCTTTATACATCCATGGGGCCATGCAGTAATGGAGGGTCTTTTACTTGATTAAAATAAAGGTAGGGACACAGTTTGTAAATACAAAAATAAGTAAAAGACTTGATTTCAAATTATTAATTATGATATTATATACATTTTCCTTTCACAAACCATTTATTTATTTATTATTAATTTTCAGTTTTATGAATTCAAATCTCACACTGCATTGTAACTTGTATTCATGTATTGTATACCTGCTATACCTGCTAATCTATATCAGCTTGTTTTATGTTTATTTTATTCTCTCTTTTTATTGACTGTTTTTAAATGCCATTTCATAATGTGTTTCCCCTGCACTATTTCTTAATGTTTTTTATTTTGGCACTTTGAATTGCCTTGTGTTGAAAGGTGCTGTAAATATAAACTTGCCTTGCCTTTATTGTATTTTATTTCTCTTTTATACGATTACTGTCACATTACATTTGTTTATATGTACATGCAAGTGTTGATCGTCCTCATTATGCAGAATGGCCCATCTCAAAACAGTAGATATTATATCCCAAAATGTAGTGGAGTAGTACTTAAAAGTAGCATGAAATGGAAAGTATTGAAACTTTACTGAAGTACTGTATTTGAGTTGTGTTTAATGTGCTTAACATTCTGTACCGCTGGCTAGAATACAATGTTGTAAACTTGTTTATGAGTGGTATATATACAAGTCTAATGTAATTGTATGACAAAGGTAACATTGCAAAAATAACCTTGTATGTGTCTGAGGATGTTAAAGGTGGGGTAGATAATTTTGGAGAAACCAGCTCGAGTGCGCTAGAATTTGAAAATACACCACCGGAAAAAATCTGCCACTTCATTAGAGAGCCCCTCCTCCAACACACGAACGCGCACATGACCAATGAGGGCACGAGATAAGTTTGTGCACAGATAGAAGGCTGACAGGCAGGTAGGCCATCCAGTTACTTTAGCCGGGCCGGCTAAAATGATTGGTCGTGCTTTTTACAGTACTACGGCTTCCACAGATGACATTTCTTTATGTATTTATTGTCAAGCATTTAATGTATTCATTGCTATCGGGATGTTAAGAGCATTCCATGGAATATAACAAAAAGTGTTTCTGAAGTGAATTACCTACCCCACCTTTAAGATAGCACACATGTTCATATTTTTTAAGCATTCAAAATCATTGATGACCTTCAATACAGTACCTTAAAAAGGTAGACTTCATTTTTTTCAATTCTTATTGACAATATTAAACTAGTATTTACATTGCTAAACTCATCCTAAATAGTTCTATAACATTATATTAAGAGCAGACCAGTAATACACTTTAAGTGGTTAAATATCACAGTAAAAAGGGTAATTTATTCAAACGTTTTTATTACATCATGAACATTCACAAACATGTATTTATTAGTGAGAGAATTCCTTAGCTCAGTTCTTCAATTAACTTGCTATTCTTTTTTCTCTTTTCTTTCTTCAAGCTCTCCTCAACCACAGTCTTTGCCTGCTCCATGCTGCTCCTTACACTCTCTCTCTTACTGTGTTCGTTCCACAACTCAATAGCTAGTCTACGAATCCCATCGGCATTGTCCAACACCCAGGCTTGAAGGAACTCACACTTCTTGCTTGCCAGGAAGTATTTATGTCTCTTCACTCCTTCCTCTCCCTCTTTGGATAGGGCACTTCTAGCCTTGGAGAGCACCGCGCGCAGCTGACTGAAGGCTGAAAGGCAGTATCCTGTGGCATCCTTTCGGTCTCTGCCGGTCATGATGTGAGCCACAGCTTCCACCGCCCTGGTTGGGGCAAGAGGGTCTTCCTTATCTAGGTAACCTCCATCCAGAATCAGAGCTTCTCCACAGCCTAGGGCCTCTTGGACAGAGTTGAACACCCTGTTTGAGTTCAGTGCCTCAGACAGAGCAAGAATCATGTCACAGAACTCAAACATCAGTGAATCAGTGTCATTGTTAAACAGGCACATGGTGAAGGAGTAGCCAAAAAGTGCATTGACCAAACCATAACATATCAGGGGAGATGGATTTGCACATAAGGAGCTCAACTTTGGGATTTTTGCAGAAACTTTAGGGACACTGGGATTGGTTGACCTTCCCTTGTTTGTTTCCTTTCCCTTTGCTCCTTTCACTTGTCTTGTTGTAGCTGATTTGCTCTGATTCTGAACCACTTCTTGGGATGTCTTGTCTTCTTCATCCATAGTTGTTGAATTGTCCCTCTCCAGTTTGCTCACTTCCTCCTCAAGCACCTCCACCAGTGCTTTCCCTCCCTCCTCATGCTCCTCCCACCACGGCTTCCACAGGGTAACCAGCCCACTGAGAGCTCCACCTTTTATTAGATCCATGAACTTCTCTTTCTCTTCACTGTTGAGAACTTCCCACAGCTCCTCTTCTGAAAGTTTGTCAACATCCAGGCCTGAGAGTCGATCAGCCAAATCCACCTCGCCTAATGCAGCTTCAGCACCTTCATCTATGTCACCTTGTAGCGCCTCTCCTCCTCCAATCTCTTCAAGTTTCCTCAAAATAGCCTCAATCTCTGTTTCACTCGCCTCTCCAGACTGTTGAAGCTCTGCTAACCTGGATAGGAGCTCCACAACCTGCACTTTCTCCTCTGCCTCTCCTTTTCCTTCCTCTGTGTCATCTGACAGAATACCAGCATCCTTTAACACACTCTCCATCCCCCCGTCTGTGTGTTCAGCCTTTTGTCTCAGTCCCACGAGTATCTCCTGCATTTTAATCCTCCCTTCACTTTCTGTTTTCCCCATTTCCTTCAGCTCCTGCAGAACAGACTCCTTGTAAAACTTCTCAGAGCACACAGAGTGATCTGGGCTCTGGTAGCAAGCCAAGCCACAGTAATGCAGGTTACACCGAGGGCAGGTGTAAGAAGAGGGCTTGCATTTACACAGCATGCAGACTGCAGTACTTCTGGCGTTACTACCATCCTCTTGTGTCTTGGCTGGAGATAGAAACGCCTCTTCTCCAGAAGCAGGTCCTCTGGAGGGGAGCAGAACCCCATCTCTGGTCTCTGTGTCCGGCTCCACGTCAGTCCACTCCTCCTTTGGACCGATGTCTGTCAGAAGACTCCTCACAGAGGGAGGAAGTCTCCGTCTAATTACTGGATTCATTGCAGGTTGAAATGTTTGAAGCAAGATATTGTAGCAAAGGGAAAGGTGAGCTCTGCGGTTAACCTAAGAGTGGAAGAAATGAAAATGAGTTAGGTTGTAACACCACGTTTCTGTTAAGTTAGTGACGTTTTTTTAACGCTATAAACACAAAACAGCGTGCTTTATTGTAACGATGCGTCCCATACGTAAACCAATTTAAAATGACGTCAATATGGAACACTTTCTTCGTCGTTTATTTCTTAAAGAACAAAATCGACTTACTTTCAAGCATTTGCGCCAACACCAACGTTCCACATTTGTTGTCCCAAACCGCCATGTCGCCTCATGATGACGTATCCTCGGCTTAAAGCAGCAGTCCTTTTTCTCCTTAGTGGTTCTGCTGCTACAAGTGTTGGTAATAAATGACAATAAAAGGATTAATAAGAATAATGAGGATACATACAATAGTAAAAATAACAAGTAATCCCGTGAACGATAATAATACTAATAATAAACTTTATATGCATTATAACTAAGAAATTAAATGAGGGGTTAACATGAAATGGACATAAAATAACCATACAATCAGGGATAGAAATGTCCTCCATTTGATAGTTAAATATGTAGTAAGATAAAATAATAATGACTTAATAAACTGTGATCTTTTGATACCCATATGATTTCTTACATAGGTGCATTGGCAATTGATAATTTTTAAAGTCATTTTCATAAGCTGTGCATATACTGTATGTTTCAATTTAGTTTTTCACAGTTAATCCAATATAGTTGTGTGACTTGTTATGAGATCTCTGTAAAATGTTTCGAAAAAGGTTGTGAAATGTTAAACAAACTCAAATGCATTAACACTTTGCAAGAGAAGACTTAACCTGTGCAGTTTGATGGGGAAGATGAAGTGGATCACAGTAAGCATTAAGCTTAGCTAAGCGATCAAGGAAAAAGGGGTCTAAAAAAAGATATTTGATCACAACTCACAAGCATGTATGCATGTCGCATTCGGACTATCCATCCCTCTATCAAACTCTGTCATAGTCTGTGTGTGTCTCCCTGACGGTGCTGTGTGTCTACATCTCCCGTGGGGCTGTTTGCTATGAGGTGATTGTCTCCTGCAGGGGGTCAAGCATGGTAAAGGTCACGCAGGTGGGGAGTTGTCAGATGGCTGTCCACCCCTGACTGGGCCAAGGGGTTCCCGTGCCGCCTGTCAGAGCCTGTGGGGAGAGAGGGAGGAGGGGGGGGTCTGAGGTCGACGTGTGCCATGCTGTCTTGGCCCCGCCCCTGGCTGCCGTGCCAGCCGTCCTGGGTGGGCTGCTGCCTCCTCGTGTCTCATTTATTTTTCTCTAGCATGTCCTGTGACATGTTAGTACCCCCAACACTGAATCCACAAGCCTACTTCCTGACTCTTAGACTAATGATATGAAGTAAAGCTGAGTCTCATCCAGGTTAGGAAAGCTTTTTGGCCTCTTTGCTTGAGTCTAAGCACAGATTTGGTATTTTTGCTTTTAGCTGACAGCGATTTTTGTCTCATCATGTCATGGCTAAAAGAGCCTATATATTGTACTTTCATAAAAATCATTGCATATGTATGCACCACTTAACAGTGAGAATATGAAACTCAAATCAATGATGAATATGAAATAAACCAGTGTATGAATAAGGCAAGTGACAGACAAAAACACACACACACACACACACATATTCCACTGTCTGCCACCAGCTGATAGGTGACCGGGAACAGCCTCTACCTTTTGGGCATGTCCAGCCCTGACATGTCTGAAGCTGTCTACTGTACAACAGCAGGGTGTGTGTGTGTGTGTGTGTGTGTGTGTGTGTGTGTGTGTGTGTGTGTGTGTGTGTGTGTGTGTGTGTGTGTGTGTGTGTGTGTGTGTGTGTGTGTGTGTGTGTGTGTGTGTGTGTGTGTGTGTGTGTGTGTGTGTGTGTGTGTGTGCAGTAAAAGAGAGTACACTTCTGTTGATGTGGATTGTTCTGTCACTTGTCCACTCAAAAAGATATGGCATTATAGGGATTGAGACAGGGAAGGGCCGGGGTCCTACAGTATGTGTAAGTGTGACATGAAACAATAGATCAATAAAATATCAAAACTGATCAAAAAGCATCCAGAAGCACAGGGAGTAGAGTGCATAACTTCTCCCTTAGAGTAATAACAGACAGAATATTCAGCATCATTTAGAATAAAGCAATACAATTGCATTCAGTGTTTGTGTAAGTGAATCTCACTATTGAAAGTGAATAGTAATGAAAGGTACAGTATATTGCAGCGAACCCACAACTGAAACCTGACATAGCAACAACCCCCTCTTCCTCCCTCACCCTTTCACCCTCTTTTCATCTCTCCTCCAAAAACCTTTTTTCATGAATGAACCCAGGAATGTTATCTCAGCTCCCCAGCATGAAAGCATCAATGTACTCCTTCAATAATTAATCTCCAGGATCTATTATTTACCTATTATTTTCACCTCTTCACAACATGACCTCACTCCACGTACCTCTCCTCTTCCTCCTCGTCCTCTTACTCATCCTTCCTTCCTTCCTTCCTTCCTTCATTTACTTGTCCACCTTTGCCAGGTCACTCAATCCATATAAACAAATCCCTGTTTCCTGTGCAGCTCCTTGATCTGCCTCAACCAGTGGCCTCTCCCTCTGAACGTGCATGTGTGTGTTTGTGCTGGGTGCAGTGCGGCGTGTGATGTGCTAAAACACAGGTAGATGGAGTGGTAGCCTCTCAGTGACCTAAAGCGGCTGTTGACAGCAGTGACAGAAACAACCAGGAAGAAAGAAAAGGAAACCTCACAGTACCTCAGAAGTCAACCTCCTCTCGGTCTGACTGAATATAAAGGGGTCATCACTGTAGCCACACCAGTCATGTAATTTCCTGTTTTCTTTCTACATCAGCGATTGGACTGATATTTTGCAACTCCAGACTTGAGACTTTTTCAAAGCGCTTGCCTGTTATTTTCATTTTCTCCTAACACTCCCTACCTCCCCCTTTGAATGGTTGTTATTGGAATAATCTATAAGAAAGCGATACATAGATAGTTTAGATCTGGCATTTCAAATGGCTCATGCCTTTCTATTCCCACTTTGGTCTAATTTTTTGGGTTGTTTTAAAGTGCTATCAAGGATGTCTTATGGATGAAATATTTAATCTGATAATATTAGAATATTTTAACCTGATTTGAGATCGAAATTCAGATTTGTGGCAAAATATTTGTAATTCTTTTGATGTGGTATGTGATTAAATAATTGTTTCCACCCCTCTCAGCGAAGAAAGACTTTCAATCTCAATGATGAATAAAAGTTATATGTATGAATACATTTTAATAAATGGAACATCTTTGTAATTATTTAATATATCTGCTTTTATAAAACAGAAAGAAAAACAGAGACATAAGGAGGAGGCACCTATCATTGAGAAGACACCAAGTTCCTATTATGTTAAAATATTAATTTTTTAGAGTTTTTGGCAAAGAACAGCAGATGTTCTTTCAGACTGGCTTAGGGCTTGTAACATTTTCACAATAGCAGGTTGTGGAACAAGCAAAATACCATTGGGAATAATGCTGGAAACATGCCTGTCATCCACAGTTGGGTTGACAGACGTGATAAATGTTAAAAGGATTACATTTAAACATCTTCACAGAGAAGGCCGACTTATTATAAACTCATTCTGCATAGCAAAACACAAACTAACCCACTTGACTTTCTTTTAAATTAAATAGTTCCTAAAGATATTGAATATTCCAGCAAGAAATGTCCATGCAGTAAATGTGACCCAAAGACATCTACGAGTATATCCCTTTCTGATGATTTGAAAAAATGTATATGTTATGTATGGCTGTTGCTTTTATATCTGTGTTCATAAGCCTGGCCTCTCCCTGTCTTCTCATGACTGTTACAGAAAAACTTGGTGAGACTTTCATGTTTTTCACTCTACTTTCCCTTCTCCATCACACTATTCCCACAGGAGCAAACCTGAGACTGGCTATGTATCGATGTATCACCCACCTCCATCTGTCTAACCTCCGGCCCCGCCTTCCTCCATCCTCACGAGAGGGAGCAGCAGCGTGAAGAGAAGGGGAGCAATGGAGGAAGGAGCAAAGGAGAGAAATGTGTCTGTGTCCCAAAGGATTGGTCTCTGTCTGTCTAAATCAGGAAGTGAGAATATGACGGCAGGAGAGGCCGAGCAGAGACATCCCTTCAGTGTGTGTGTGTGTGTGTGTGTGTGTGTGTGTGTGTGTGTGTGTGTGTGTGTGTGTGTGTGTGTGTGTGTGTGTGTGTGTGTGTGTGTGTGTGTGTGTGTGTGTGTGTGTGTGTGTGTGTGTGTGTGTGTGTGTGTGTTAGTAGTATGGTCCTTGTTGAGCTGAGGTGTCATATATGTGAAGATCACAGTTTCAAGCTAGTGGCAACCAGGGATGACGCTTTAAATCACTGAAATGCCAGAGACGACGGTGTGTGTGATATGTTGTGTGTGTGTGAATGTGTTCGTGTCTGGGTCTTTTGGGACATTTGATGGATATCAAAGTATTACCACTTTTAGAGTCTGAAAGTGAAAATGTTATCAAGTATGTCACCTTCGAAGAAAAAAAAAAGAGAGTGACATTGTCACATCCAGACCATGATGTTGTCAGAAACACACAAGAAAACGCACACACACACACACACACACACACTGAAAAACACATACCTGCACTAGATGTCATGTTTTGAATTTATTTCCAACTAGATGGTATTAAAAACAGTATTCATTATATAAAATAAATAATAATCGATCATTTTTTCATATAAATTAAGTTATTTTTAGGTTGGTTTAATAAATTGCATTTCTATTACCAATCTCAGTAGAACTGGACATTTTAAACACTTGTCCTCTACTTTTGGTTCAACTAGTTATCCACAAATTCAAGCTTTGATTTACATTATTTATCCAGGACTTTTAGTTGTATTTCAACTATTTATCTTACACATTTATGCTTTTTCTATCTCAGAATCAAAATCAGATCTTTACCTTTAAGCAGTTTACGGGTTTTCTTAGCTAAAGTATTTCAAACATTTATCCAACCCACTTCAATGTAAATGTTTCTTTTTTTCTAAACTTTTAGCTGACCCTTTCATCTATTAATTTAGCTGTCTTGCTTCTTTTTTTTTTTAAATGTCTTCAAGGTTACTTGAAGGTTAGCTTTATCTATAACTTTTTGCTATCCATTTGAAGCATTTGTTCATTACTTAAAGGTGGGGTATGTCATTTATTTCAGAAACACTTTTTGTTATATTATTATTATATGGAATGCTTTTAACATCCCGATA